GGGGGTCTGCTGCTGTCTGAACTTACAAGACAACATGCTGACATGCTCTCAGCCCCCCAAAACACACTGTCTCTCCTCCCACATGCACACAACACACTCCCTGTCACACTCCCCCATTCCCTCCCCCCCCAATTTGAAAAGCACGTTGCAGCCACTTGCACACTGGGATAGCTACCACAATGCACTGTTCTTTGTGGCATTGCAAGAGCTGCTAATGTGGCCATGCCACTGTGCTTGCAGCTGACAGCGTAAACACACGGCAGCGTTTTCCCTGCTGCGGTCTCTGAAGGCTGGTTTAACTCCCAGCGCTCTACATCTGCAAGTGTAGCCAAGCCCCAGGAGTCTTGGGTCAGGCACCCAGAAAAGGAGGAACACACAGTTAGTGAAAAGTTATTGTTTAAGGGTGGGATTCACAAAGGTACTTAGGTCCCAGTTCAAGCTCTACTGTTCCCTTGGTGCCAAAGTTCCTTTCTCTGGGCATGTGCGCTGCTGCCTCCTGCTAGGCGTCCGGACGCATATCTTGTGCCTCAGCCCCAGAGTGATTCACAAACCAGGGGAGATAGGTGTTCAGCCACCTAAGTCGTGTGCAGGGCCCGATCCAGTAGGCATGCTCAGAGGCCACCTACCAGATCAGGTCCCATTCAAAATAAAGGAGGAGCCTGATGATGGTGGTGCCAGTGCCCACCTTATAACTTACAGCACAGTGGCTAGAGCACTCACCTGGGAGGTGGGAGACCCACGTCCAATTCCCCCCCTCTCCGCCAGAGGGGGAGAAAGGATTTGAACAGGCGTCTCCTACTTCTCAGGAGAGCCCTTTAACCACTGAGCTAAGGGACATTCTGATGTGGGCTCGCTCCATCTCTCCTGCGGAAGCTCTTCCAGTTCGGAAAACTAACGAAAGAGTGGCTGGAGCAGGGAGCGTGGCCCCTCAGTCTCCCATCTCCCAGGTGGGTGCCCTGACCACTGGACTAAAGAGCCATTCTCTCTCTCTCTCGCCTACAACTGTTTATGTATTTATGCATCACTACATCCGCAGGGGCAGGGTTTAGCACACACCTTTCTTGTTGGCATCTCCCATTGCCTAGCTTGGGTGGCTTCCCACCGAGTGAGCTGATTTGTGCGGATCACATTCTTCGGTGCCTATCTGTCTCCATTCATGGTATAGGCAGCCCAGGCCCCTGGCTTGGCTTGGTGGGTCGCAATGCTGTTCTTGTAATTTTCCAGCACCTAAAAGGTAGGCGCCGTGACGCTTAGCATCGCAATGCCTACGGCCCTTCGTGGATCCCACCCTAAGTGACTTGCTCAGCATCACATAGGAACTCTGTGGTAGAGGCAAGGAGAGAATCCAGTTCCCCAGAGCAGCATTTAAATTGCCTAAGCACAAGTCTTTTCCTGCAGTTCCCCACCTCATTCACTACCCACCTTTCAACAGCCTCAAAAAATGAGGCAGAGAACCTACAGATAACAGCCTCCTTTCACTACCCAACCCTGATTAATTTCCTGAGCACTGTGTCCATTCTGTGCACTGAATGGAGCAGAGGTCCTGTGGAAATAAGCGTAGTGATCATGAGATTAAAGACTGAATCATGGTGCATATGCACAAGGGGGCCAAATTAAGGTTGCACAGGAAACCTTAATTCTGGCATTTCCTATCTTGAGTGCTTGATTTTGCAAACGTAACTTTCTTTTAATGTAATTTGTTTGTATGTAATTTCCTATGTTTTTTAAAAAAAGCAAACTGAAAAATCAGAAATTTTATCTTGTGAAACCATATCGGTACCCACATGGTTCTTCAGCGGTGTTAGAAACTTTTGATCCACCAGACAGACCTGTCACTTGAGCTAACAGTACCTTATAGCAGTAGTAGGCTGTTATCCTCTGTGTGGGGCAGCACTACAGGTGGATGAGGTGCATATTTTGCCAGTGGGTTTCACAGCTGTTTTCTGACAGCAGAGGAATGTTGAGACTCAGGACTCCTGGATACTATTCCAGGTTCTGAGGTGAGTGTAACCTAGTGGTTACAGACACTTCTGCCCCAGTCACAGTTCCCTTCCCCCCAAGTTCCTAGTACCAGTCCCATCACCCACAAGTCCAGCACCTCTGTCCTTTGCATTCCTGTCAGGCTGCATCCTTCTCCTGGATGCCACCAGGGGGAGCACTGAGAGCACAGGACATACAGGCTCCCTGCGTTTGGTTCCTGTGCTTGGTGCCACGGTGGCCCCCAGCAGCTGGGAGTCCTGCTCAGCCCCGGTATCCCGGTGATAGGAGCATGCTCAGTGCAGAGAGATTCTTTGGAGAATTTAGCTACCAAATTCGAACACGTCTCAGCTGCGCATGTGTGAACTGAGATTTTCAGAGGCCAAATTTGAGAAGATTTTCACGAGGATGGCAAGAGACACATTCCTGGCACCAGGGCAACCCCCAGCCAAATTTCAAATCCCTGCTCCAGAGCAGGGAGGTGCCTCAGCTTCTCAACAAAATGGTGGTCTGGGTTGTTGGTTTTTAACATGGACAAAATGTATTTTCCCATGATCTTGTTCTCGAAATGGCTAAATCAATTTTGCTGAAATTTTCCAAAAAAATTCAACCCTCGGCAGACCCTCGGCATGTGGGAAATTTCAGCCTGATTGAACGGTTAAAGTTTAGCGAAGTTATAACCAACTGAAAACAAGGTTGTGTGACGCTCCCATTATAAGACCCTACTGTAGGCTCTGCTACCTGCGCTGTCTATAATATAGGGCCTTCGGTGGGGTGTGTACATGCCCCACATTAAGGCAGGCAGGGAAATGGTTAATGAGGGCTCATTTAGGGCCTAATCCTGCTCCCTTGGAGTCAGTGGGAGTATTAACAGTGACTTGGATGGGAGCAGGGCCAGACCCTTCATGCAGGGGGATAGAGAGGAGGCAGTGGAAGGGCCCTGAGGGGCAAAGGAAGTGCACACAGTCCCCGTCTTTTCCCTGCCCAGGAAGCGCACAGACAGCCAGGGGGAGCTGAGCAACTGGCCCTCTTCAGATGGGGTCAGACAGCTTACAAGCATCTGTGTCAGCTGAGAGCTGTCTGTTTTCTCCCGGCTCCTACTGGCCTCCCCTTTATTGGCATGGGGAAAAGGAGGCTGAATCCAGCCCCAGTCCTGGTCTCCTGTGTGCTTGGTGTAGAGGTCCTTGGGCCTTAGGGTGACAGGATGCAGTATTTTGTTTCTCTCCGTCCCCTCATATCGCCCCCTTTCCTGTTAGCCATGAGCGGGGCCCAGATGTTCAGTGGGGCCAGAGCAATAGTTACAGTCTTGACCAGAGGGAGCTGTTGTAATTGTCTCTGCTCAGGCTGAGGGAGGGGACAGCCACCTTTTTTCCCAGCATGGGATTGGGGGTTTCCTTTGTCTTCACCCCCGTGTGTTCCACGTTCCCAGGTGAGGATGATTTGGAGGCACTGAAGGCCAAGAACATCAAGCAGACTGAGCTGGTGGCCGACCTTCGTGAGGCGATCCTGCAGGTGGCACGGCATTTCCAGTGCGTGGATCCAAAGAACTGCAGCATTGTGAGTGGGGGCGCACTGCACAAGGCTAAACCTGAGTCCCTCGAGCTGCATGGCCAAGGCTGGGTCCCCCTACCCCTGGAGGAGCTGCCGGATTTCAGGGAGATCCCCCATGGGCAGGATCTCTGTGTCGCACGTTGCCTGTCCCAGGTGGAGGGAAGGGAGCCATGCTTGATCCTGGAGCTAGCAGAGCTAATCTGTCCACCGGGGGAGGGAGCAGAGAGTGGTACTGAACATGGGGGAGCATCCTAGCACATCTAGTCACCTTCTTATTGCTCCTCTGTGCTTCTCTTCCGCACAAACTCAGGACCTGACTCCGGATTACACCATGGAGAGCCACCAGCGGGACCACGAAAACTACGTGGCATGTTCCCAGAACCGCCGGCGCCGAGCCAAGGCACTGCTGGACTTCGAGCGCCATGACGATGACGAGCTGGGCTTCCGCAAGAACGACATCATCACAGTACGAGGGCTGGGGGGGGGGGGGGGGGCAGAATCCCGCGGCGTGATGCACCCTCTCTGCCCCCTTTCAGAGAGGGCATGTTACAGGCACCCACCTCGAGCCACCACGTGGGGCGAGTGTTTCATCCTCCTTAGAGCCTTCTCCCTGGGGAGTCAGGCTGGGGTGTCCCTCCCAGAGCCCTGTGCTGGGTTGCTGGTTATACAGTCTGTGGCTGGGGGTTCTGGCTGATCCAGGCAGGACACACAATTCCATTGGGAACGCTTGCCGCCTCCTGCTGGAACTGGTTAGTGGGTCACCCTGGCTGTCAGCCCCCACTCCCCCAGAGCGAAAGGCAGATAAGATTTGAACTCCGATCAGAGTTAGCTCAGTGCTCTGTGCCACCAGGTCACTGGGCCAGCCCAGCCATCATCTAAGGGCACCCAATAGCATGGAAACCTTGGCACCACCTCCTTACACCCCAGGGTGGGCGAGGGAGGGAGGAAAGGGAAACCCGCTGCCCATCAAAGCGCAAGAAGCTGCTGCTCTGAATAGCTGTCCGATGTGGGGTGTGTTGTGTTGGCAGCATTGTCCTGCGCCCGCATGGTGAGTAGAACCAGCCTTTCACCCCCATGTATTGTGGGGCCAACAGAACCACCACTGGAGAAGAAAAAGGGAGGAGGGTGTTGGCACAATGGCTGATCATCATTTAACTCCTCTTCTCCCACCCTCAGGAACTCCTGCCTCTTGCCCAGGGTGCCTGGGTAACCCATGCTAACCCAGAGCGGCCCTTTAGCCCCATCTAGTGGCTGAACGCATAAAGAGACTGCTACAGCCGCTGAGCTAGTGGACTTGGTCCTGTAGCTCAGATGGGAGAGGCTTATGCTTTTAGATTCAGGGTCCCAGGTTCAGTCCCCACAAAGAACCCGGCTACGGGTGTTGTTACTCCTGTCTCTGGTGTCTGGGCAGCACCCACCTGTAATGAAAGTTGGTTGGTGACTTGAATTTCAGTCAGTCAGTCCCCTCCGTCGACCTCTGATGGTTGAGAAGAAAGTGATTCCTTACCCCACATGCACACACTCACTCTCTCTGAAGTGACACTGTTTCCATGGCAATGCATCCCATCTCCCAGCTGTCCTGGGTGGGATGTGTGGAGAGGGAAAGCCTGACGCTGCACTGGTGCCAGCCCCATTTTGCCTCCTTGCTCCCATTCCATGGCCCCTGTGAGTCAGGGTTTGTCTCTCTCTCAAATTGCCATCTCTCCTCTTCGTTCTTTCAGATCATATCCCAAAAGGACGAGCACTGTTGGGTGGGGGAGCTGAATGGACTGAGAGGTGAGAACAGACAAGGCTGGTGGGTGAGGGGGGGGCTAAGGGAAAGGTGGGGGGAGGGGCTCCAGAGACGGGGGGGGGGGGAGTGGAATTGCTAATGTTCCACAGATGCTGCTGCTCTCAGCGATGGCTCTGGCATCTCTGCCCTCCCTGTCTCGGGGAGCCGTGTGGGTTTGCTTTTCATTTGAGTTCCTGCCCTTATAGCCAAAGGCTCTGCTGAGCCCCATTGGGGAGCTGCCTGGGAATGCACATCGCATCCCTGCCTGGGAATGCACATTGCAGGAGAGAGGGGTGTGGAGGTGGAGTGGGGGCGCAGCTCCTTGCTAGGCAAGCTCATTATTCCCAGCAGATGCAGCAACTGAGGTGTACTTTCACAGTCAGGGTGAGGATGGGTAGGGGGCTGCTCTGAAGCATGGGAGCTGATGCTGTCTGTGGTGCTTGTAGGGAGAATGCCCTTCAATGACATCACGCTTGCAGCTGTTTGGATTTCCTGATACACACTGAGAGGCTCCAGTGCTGCTTGTTTTCTTCTCCAGGCTGGGCCCACAGGCCCCTCCAGGGCACACAGGAACCCACCTCTTTTCTCCTCCCTCCCCCAGGACCTGCAGCCAGTCTGGGTTTTCATTCATGTCCATGTGAGGGTTTCCCAATGTCTCAGGCTCACCCTTTGTCTCCTCTTTGTAGGTTGGTTTCCTGCAAAATTTGTGGAGGTCTTGGATGAACGGAGCAAAGAGGTAAAAATTCCTGTATTTTCTAAGTCACCTTGCAAACCCCACTGTCCTTCTTACCAAAACCCATGCGTGTCTTCCCTGCTGCCATCACTCCTTCTGGCTTTCCGTGTTTATATGCCACTTTTCCTCTGCCCCGCTGGCAGGACGTAGCGTAATAGTGTGGTCAGATGGTGGTAGTTTCCTTGGGCATTTGCCAAATGTTTACCCACAGGATGGTCGGAGATGGAGATCCACAGGGTGGGATGGGAGGGAGTCTTGTGCAGTGACTAAGGTCCCTACAACCACAGTCTGGCTCAAGGAGAGCCCAGAGGTGACATCCTGCAAATGTTGCAAAATATGAATCTTTCTGTAGCCCCTCCCACCCCAGAATCTGTGTTTAACAGCTGTGAATGAATGACTGACACACTCACACGCTCTCTCTCTCCCTCCCTCCCTCTCTGTCTCTCTCTCTCTCTCTCTGATGGCCGTGTGAGATAGGGAAGTCTCTTATCCTTCCCCATTACAGATAGGAGTCGGAGGTACAGAATGATGAATTGATTTGCCAAAGGTCACACAGGCAGTCTGTGCAGAGCCAGAAATAAGTCCCACATCTTCTGACCCAGAGTCTTGGGTGTTAACCTCAAGAGCATCCTTTCAGGGGCCCTGCAGATGCCTGGCTTCCCACAGTTTAAAGTCCCTGCCCGGAGAGAGGTGTATGGGCTGCATTGGGCGCCGAGTGTGGCCGGGGAAGGAATTAGCTCTGTGAATGAGAGAGCCCTCGGCTGTAGTCAGTGAGAGCATGCGGAGGGGGGCCTGCCAAGAGCTAAGTCTTGATGGAACCAGCCTCGCTTCCCACAGACCTGCTAGTCCGGACATCGGTACAACCCAGCAAAGCAAGTTCTGCGCTCAGGCACCAGCTTCCAGTCCCTGGGGCTGTCGGCTCTGAGTGGGGTAGGGGAGCGTCTAGAGTGGGTGACGAAAGGAGATAGAGGAGTCTGGGTGGGAAGGCCTGTCTGGAGAAGAGGTATGGCTCTGTGTCCCCACCCCACAGCTCTCTGCTCTGGGGGGCTGTCTCCCTCTCTAAGAGGCTAAGAGCTAACTCCTTTCATTCCTCAGTACTCCATTGCTGGCGACGACTCGGTCACAGAGGGGGTGACAGACTTGGTCCGAGGGACGCTCTGTCCAGCACTGAAGTCTATATTTGAGCATGGGTTAAAGAAGCCGTCCCTGCTGGGGGGGCCCTGCCACCCCTGGCTGTTTATCGAAGAGGTGAGAATGGCACTCGGGGACAGGGGAACAACGGGGAGGGGATGTAGGGATAGTGGGGCTATGGTCCAGCAGGACTACAGGAACACAGCCTTCTCTCGGCTTTCTTCCCTGCTGGGCACCTTGGGGTCTGTCCCGCCTCTGCTGCGGGTGGGGTGCTGCTGCTGGAGGTTCTGTATGTGAGGGCAGGGGTGCTATCAACGGCCTGTAGCTCTGACTACATCCTCTTTCCCTCAGGCCGCTGGACGGGAGGTGGAACGAGACTTCGACTCGGTGTACTCCCGCCTCGTGCTCTGTAAGACTTACAGGTGAGGCTGCTCTAGTCATACTGACAGTCTCGCATCCTCCTGCCCCAAGTCCTCCTTGTCAAAGCTGCGCTCCTCTCTCCCGCCGGGAAAGGTCGTTCTTTCCTTCTGGGCCATGACATGTTCCCTCTTCCGAATGGGCAGGGCCCTGCACTGCCCTGCCTGGGACTGCTAGTGGAGCCATGCTGACCTGGACTGCACATGGGACTGACAGGTGGTTCTTGTCTCTAAAAACCCCCACTTCCTGTGTGGTATGGCTGTGGCTGTATCTCAGCCCGTAGCAGTAGCCATCATCAGGATCCCCGCCCCAGTCTCCTGGTGGTAGTAGCTGAGCTGTGTGTTTCTCCGAGTAGCGTGGCTCCCATCTCTGGGGTGCGCTCGAGCTGGACAGTGTCTTGCCTGAATCGGCAGATGGCTCTGTGGGGTAAACTGGGTCTCTGCTTTGGTTTTATAGGCTGGATGAAGATGGAAAAGTTCTGACTCCAGAGGAGCTGCTTTACCGGGTGAGTACCTTGCCCTGCCCGCACAGGGGCTAGATTAGGGTTGCCAGTTTTGGTTGGATGTATTCTTGGAGATTTCATCACATGACCTAATCTTGAATTCCTGGAGTCTCCAGGCCAAATCTGCCAGACCCACCTCTGTACCTTCCCCTGGTCTGTGCAGCCCCTTCAACTGCTCTCAGCCTCTCCCAGCAAGAGCCCAGAGCTACTCCCAGCAGGTGGCGCTGTAGGGAAGGCTGCAGGAGCTGTGGTCCTGGTGACTCCTACAGGGAGTGGTAAAGAGAGCTCTGTGATGGCGCTGAGCAAAGGGGAACTGCAGGGAAAGGGTGCACTAGGCTGTGTAGCTGTAGCGACTCTCCATGTGGGAGCCCCCCGTGGAACGTAGTAACCGCCTCCTCCCGCCCGGCAGGCAGTGCAGTCCGTGAACATGACGCATGACGCTGCACATGCTCAGATGGACGTGAAGCTTCGCTCCCTCATCTGCGTTGGACTCAAGTGAGTCATTCAGCCTGTTTCCTTGAGCGTTGCTTCGATGATGAGCTCGGGGCGGGCTGGGAGATGGGAGTGAGGAGGAGACGGGACGTGAGGTGAGGGGCTGGGGCCAGGTTGGGGTGGGCGGAGGGATCTGGGGAGGCAGCCAGGGGGCTGCGGGGTGCTTGGAGCCAGCTGGGTCAAGCTGGGAAGCAGTAGTTATTTTAGTCTCCTCCCCCCACACAGCTTGAGTCACCGAGCTCTGTCCTCCCCTAGGTGGCCACTAGGGATATAAATATTGGTTAAAAAGGTTAACCAGTTAAACGATTAAAATGATATTGTTTAATCGGTTAACTGTTAACCGATGCCGCTCCGGCAGAGGGGTGGCAGGGGCTGGGGGCCCGGTGTTGCCAGGGCTGCTCCAGCCCACCCAGCACGGCCCGGGGCAGTGTCCCACCGGCACAGCGCGGCCGGGGCCAGCCGCGGGGGTTAACGGTTAAGTTCCGGTTAACAGTAACCCTAATGCTTACAGGTTAACCGTTTAACCTTTTACATCCCTAGTGGCCACCACCAGAAGCCAGTGCCTTATTTTCAGGTACACTCGACCCAGACTCTCCCCTGAGGGAGCAATTCCCTGGTGTCCTCCCTGTTGCTGTAGAGGAAGAGACTGATGGGTTGTGGTCAGGGGCTGGATGGAAATCAGTGTCCCCCAGAGGGAGAGGCCACCCAGCCCTCTGATAACGGCCCTGGTTCCTAGTGACTCTTCCCCCTCCCTTCGTGCAGTGAGCAGGTCCTGCACCTGTGGCTGGAGGTGCTGTGCTCGAGCCTGCAGACAGTGGAGAAATGGTTCCATCCCTGGTCCTTCCTGCGCAGTCCTGGCTGGGTGCAGATCAAGTGTGAGCTCAGGTGAGTACGGCCCCCCCGTGCTCAGCCACGTGCTGCAGCGCCCTCCTGGCCTTTGCAGACCCCTCGCTATTGAGCATTCGGCTGGTTGTCGTGCTGCAGCGGACTGGTGGGCTGCCGTTTGTGTAACCTGCCACAATAACCATTCGTGTCACACCCACCTCCTCACACAGCTCTGCCAGCAGAGCTGCACCCCACTCGTGGGGATTTCCTCCCAGACGCCCCAGAGCAGCAGCTGCTGTTTACGCTGTGTTTGGCGTGAATGGGACTCGCTCTCACTTTCTGATCAAGAGCAGGGCCTGGTGAGGGTATGTGCGGGGAGCAGCATCTACACACAGGGCTGCTGCTCTCAGGCCTCTAGCTGCTTTGCACTGAGCCTGCTGTAATGGAGCAACCCCCAAAGCCCCTCCCTGCTCCAAGGACCCATGCTCCCCAGAGTCTAGCACAGGGCTGGGCAAACTACGGCCCGCCGGCCATATCTGGCCCGTCAGACCATTTAATCCGGCCCTCAGCTCCCGCCGGAGAGCGGGGTCGGGGGCTTGCCCCACTCCACGCAGCTCCCAGGAAGCAGCTGGCATGACCCCCCACCGGCTCCTACGTAGTACATGGAGGCGTGGCCAGGCAGCTCTGCGCGCTGCCCCGTCTGCAGGCGCTGCCCCGTCTGCAGGCGCTGCCCCGCAGCTCCCATTGGCCACAGTTCCCGGCCAATGGGAGCTGCAGGGGTGGCGCCTGCAGATGGGGCAGCGCGCAGAGCCGCCAGGCCGCACCTCAGAGCTGGAGGGGGGGACATGCTTCCGGGAGCTGCTTGCGGTAAGTGCCGCATGGAGATGGCAAGATGGTGGGGGAACTTGGCTTCAGTCTAGTGGCAGAGCTGAAGCAAACTGAATAGCTTCTCTCTTTCCCCATCCACACCTGCCCTGCAGGGGGAGCAGCAGGTGGGCTTGGGCTTCCCCACCCGCAGCACTCCTGTCCCCTCCAACACTGCCCGGAAGGAGGGGAAATGAACCAGTTCCTGGGAGCTCTGCTGCTGGCTCAGGGACCAGCTCCAGGCCAAGCCTGTGTCAGGGACAGAACTTCCATCACTGCCTCTGCCACTGCTGCCACCTCCCATCTTCCTGCTGGAAATGGCTTTTGCCCTTTCACTAGCCTGTTATTTCCATCCCCCTTCACCCAGGCTGGAGTGCAACAGGTTCCCATCCTAGGAGCTGGCAGCTGGCCTGGAGCAGCTGTGGTGTTACCATGGCTGCAGCTCAGGGTCCCACATTCTCCTTGGGAAGTTCTTGAAGCAGGGGGAGTGAATTCCCTTGTAGAGGCAGCAGTTGTCTGCATGTAGCTGCTTCTTTGCTCCTGATTCCACCCCCCTGCACCTCACCCTGCTCACCGTCAGGACGTGAGAGCAAGTTCCATTGTAAACTCCAACCGTGCAACAAAACTGCCCGACCGATGGGACACTGTATGGAGAGAACTTTCCAGCCCTGACTGGGGCTCAGCTGGTCAAGTGCCGAGAGGCCATGTGTGAACGAGGAGAGTCACCACTGGGTGAGGCTGAGCCTGCCGGGGCATGGGTGGGATGCACTGTGGGGAGCTGAAGCCCAGGATCGAATGGAGGGAGTTCTCTGTTGCCCTGTAACGAAGGATTTGCCATGAACACCTTTACCGGCCCCCTGGGTTTGGTACGGACTGGGCGGGGAGGGGGCAAAGCGAGCTCAGGGAGGGGGCCCTGAGGATCTGTCGAGGAATGAGTGAGCACCTGCAAAACTCTAGTCCCAGCGCTGCCAGGCCTTGGCCAGCTCACTGGCGCTCAGTTTCTCCATCAGGACTGGGGGATGGGGGAGAAGGCACAGTGCTCTCCATACGCCCCTCGCTGGGCAAACATTAGCTGACTGCCGAAGGGTTTGAGGATCAGCTCCCATGCTTCTGTTTGACACTGGGGTGAGCTCAGCTGCCTCTGTTTCTCTCAAGGTGTGTGTGTGTGTGTGTGTGTGTGTGTGTGTATGTATGTATGTATGTATGTATACACAGCCCAGCCCTGGGGGGTGAGGGCAGGGCCAAATGAAGGTATTCTAGTGCCTGAGGGTTCCCCCCTGCTCTGGGCCCACTCACCATCTAGAGTGGCAATGGTGAGCGGGGGTCCCCACTTCCTGTCCCAGAAAGGTGGGGGGAAGTAGTCGTAGAAGCCCACAGTGTATATTGGGTTGGTCTGGGCCTGCTACACCCTCCTCCTCCTCCTGTCACATGTAGTCCTCTGCTGGGTGGTGGGGGCAGGGCCCCAGAGCAGTTGATGTTGTTGTTAACTTCCCATTGAGATGCATGGGGCAGTTCACACCTCTCTGAACTGTTGTTTCAGGCTGCCTGCAGACTCAGGCAGACATCTCTGCATCAGTTGCAATTAGGTCGTGTTTTCAAGCTTTTTTCCACAGCCTGAGGGCTAGAAATGTGTGTCTTGTTTTCTAATAAAAGCTGCAAGTCTGCTACAGTCACATGGCAGGGATGGTTTTGTAAGGGCATAACCATTGCCGCCTTGTATTGCAGGGTCCTCTCCAGATTTGCATTCAGTCTCTCTCAGGACTGGGAACTTCCTATTAAGAGAGAGGTGAGTGGGCCTGGACCCCCCCCCCCCTTGCCCCAAGAGTAGCCTGCCCTCCCCATTTCCTGGCACGTTGAACAGCCCCCATGCTGCAGACAGCACTTTATTCAAGAGGCCTTGATGCAAATTGACATTGAACTTGATGCCTGGTCGTCTCCCTGCCCTGTGAGCCAAGGAACAGTCCCTTCCCGGTGGAGCAGCCTCCGCCTGGGTCTGAGTCTGGCAGAACCAGGGCGAGGCCCCTCAACTGCAGTGTGGTGGGTTGCCAATCTCCTGAGAATCACCAAATTGAAAAGAGGATCAACTTCTGCCCTCCTGGTGGGGTTAGTGGGGGTGGAGCACACTGCAGGCTCTTCCCACACCAGTTCTTATTCATACCCCAAGGGGCGTGGCTTTTCTGCTTGCTTCCTCCTCTCTTGGCTAGGAGAGTGAGCACTCGACCCCTGGAGAACAAGGTTCTGACTCATTCAGCTGCAACAGCAGCAAAGGGCCAGGGGCAGGTGGTCTCCCTGAGCACCGGTTACCTGTTCCCTCCATACCCCAACCAGACTGCAGGGTTGAGACGCTGGACCTGGTAGGAGAGAGAGCAAGTGGTGGGGGGCAGCAGCTGCCTACAGAAGTCACTTCCCTTCTCCCCCACCTGCACTGGTAGAGTCCGATGGCACCTGCATATGGCTGCTTAGTGACTCTTGGCCCTTTCCTGTCCTGCAGGAGAAGGAGAAGAAGCCGCTGAAGGAAGGCGTGCAGGACATGCTGGTGAAGCACCATCTCTTCAGCTGGGACATAGATGGCTGACCCCGCCCACTGAGGACCTTCTAGACTGCCACACTCAACACACACTCTCCTCCCTCCCCCACCCGTGGCTGCTCTCAGCCCAGCTGAAGCGACAGCCTCTCCAGCTCGGCTGGGCACTGCACCCCAGGCACTGGGTGGCTGGAGGGCTGTGTGTGGTCTTGCAGGCAGAAATCCTTCCCCCAGCCTGTGCAGCATACCCTGCACCAGCTGCCCAGCTCTCAGTCCCATGTGTTCCCTTGCCCCCAGCTGTAAGCCCTGCTCGGGGTGGGGGGGAACTCCACCGGCCAGATCTCTAGCTTCCCTTTTGGCCCACCCCGCTGCTCCTCTGGCAGAGGGTTCTTAATCTGCCTCATGGCCCCTCTCCCTACTATCCTAGGGGTAGTGAGCAGATCTGTGTGTCTGTGCAATGTTTCCAAGTGCCGCTGGAGCCCAGAATGTGAGGGCAGCAGGTGAAGAGGCAGCTCCCCCTGGCTGCTTGATAACTGCAGAGTCCATTGAGGGGGAAGGCTGAGGAATGCACAGAACCACCTGAACTTCCCTGTCTCTTGTGCTTTGGGAGCCTCCCTTGGTGAAAGATTTTTTGTCTTATTGCTCTAGCAGTGTAAGGGACGGATGGGGGTGCTGACAAGATGTGCCTAAGGGAGCAGCCAGTTACCAACTAGAACTGCCTTAGGGGATGGGGCTTTTTCTCAAAAGTGGGGAGGCGAGCCCCAGTTCTCCCCTAGCCAGAGGGAGTATCATGCTGTCGTTTTAGCCTCTAGCTGTGTTATTTTAAATTAACCAAAAAGATGTAAATGATCTCTAGACATATCTGTATATTTTGGCATCATCTTAGCTCAGGAAGTGGGTTCAGGCCTGAGCTGGCTCAGGGAGACTAACTCAGCCCCTGCCCTGTGGGAAGAGGCTGAGGACTATAAGCTAGGAGTGGACCAACACTACTGCTGTAGGGTAGCTCTGTTCCATGGCGTCTGTGACTTTATCAATGAAAGCACTTGTTTGTGAGCACAAACTACTCATGAAATAACACTAGATTCTTACTTTCCTTTAGTCTTTGGGGTTGTAAATAAAGTGCATCTTGGGAGAGCTTTGGTGGTTTTCTCCAGCAGGGATGGGGGTGGCGGATGAGCCTTCCTTTGCTTTGCTGTTGCAGGTCTCTGTGGGGTTTAAGATGGACGCCTGCTCTCTGAGCTCCTGGAGGGAAAGTGGAATCCTTTACAGGAGCAGAGAATTTGTCTCTATCTCACTCAGTGACCCTGAAATCACCTCCTCTCTTTTGTCCCTGTTTCCAACTGAAATGGGTCTTAATCCTTTACGGCTTGGTTTGGAATTTAGCAAATGGGAGAAGGCTGCAGTGTGCAGTGGGATTTATAGGCGCACAGAATTGCATCCCCACCCCTGCAGGGAAGGGTGCCCCTCGGTATTGCAGAATTGAATATTCAACTGTGGCTACGGCATTAGCACCAATTCTACAGCGCAACAATAGGGCCAGGAAAGACTAGGTCAAGCCTGGCTTGCTGACTAAAGCAGGTATCAGAACCAGCAGCACACTGCACCAGAACTAGTGAGAGCATGGTGGGATAGAATATTCAGGACACTTCTAATGGTGACATTTGTCAACAACAGCGTTTTAAACTGTACAAATAAAAATCACATCCCCTGGGACTTCAGTGTGAAAAGACACAGCAGGAAAAGCTGTTCTGCACTTTTTCGTCTGTCATGCAGTTTAAAAAAAAATAAAGGTTCTTGGCAAGGCAACCATGTGCCTCAGCGTAGGGGAGTGGGGAAGAGAGGCTGTCTCAAATCAGAGTTCAGGGCTGAACACAGTTAAGAGGTAGGGTGCCCTTTATACTTCCAGGAGGGAACCAAAGAAAACAGGAGAGCCTTGCTTGACAGCTCTTTAGGAATTGTGCACTCCTGTGTCCTAAACCCAACCGATGGAAACCTTGAGAAGGTTGGAGACAAATCGGAGCAGGTACGGATGAGCACAAGGCATGCCAGCCTGTTTCTATAACAGGAATGGATCCATTTGCAGGACACTTGCTCCTTGGGGATGCTCCACTGTAGGATGTGCACACACCATATACTCTTGACCAGAGACTGTAAACAACAGTGTTGCAGTGCCACACCTGGAGCTCCAGGTGAGGGCATACAGGGGGGTGTAGACCCACTGCTGCTCCAGTTCCTTCTCAACTATGAAACCTGGCAGACTCTGCACCTGAGGGGAAGAAGAGCAGGAGGCAGAACACCCTGATGCATAAAACATCTTGAAGAACTCACATTACTGTACAGCTAGGTAGCCTCCCTCTGACCTGAGGGATGCTCCAGTGTAGGAGATGCCTAAGCAGTAGGTCAACACGGAGGTGAGTAGTGAATTGAAGACAGGTTGGAGGACTGTCACCCAAGGTCATGTCAGCTATGGATGCAGGTCTGATGGCGTAATGTTTGACAAATGTGTGAATCAAGGAGCAGGTCGCAGCCCTGCAGGTTTCTGAGATGATGTCCTTAAAGAGGGTGATAGCAGTGGACTGAGCCTTCGCTTGCTGAGGGGGATATTTCACAGCAGATCAAGATACAATCAAACCCTCTTGGACAGGCCTAGGGGAAATCAGCTGCCCCCTCATCCTTTTCGCCAAGGATCCAAAGCGTCTTAATGCTGGCAGGGTAGATGGCAAGAACCCTACGTACATCTAATGTTTGGAGACTAGCTTCCTCCCTCAAGGTAGGGGCTTAGCCATTTACTGGTAAGTGCTGACATGGGTAGTGGCCTTCCCTTAGTTCCAGGATGTTGATTTGGAGTGAACTCTCTTGTGTGAGGACCATTTTCCCTGTGCTGTAGCACTCCACCCAAAAGAGGCATCCAGTGTGAAGATTTTTTGAGAATGGGATTTCCACACCAACCTTCAGAGGATCTTTCCACCTAAGCGAGGCTAGTACTCAGGGAGGCACAGTGATTTGTTTGGGGCATACATAATCCTTCGCAAGGCCTGACCATCTGAGATGCAGCCTTGCATCTGGCATAATGAATGTGGAGGCCGACATGGCCTAGGAGTTGGCTGGGGGCTGTCTGAGTGGTTTCTGTGGCTTTCGGTGCCCTGGAGGTGGTCATCTTGGTCTTAGATGCATATGCTAGAGGTGTCAAATAGTAGCAAGCAAGGTGCCTCTTGGTGCTGCTTGTTTGAAGACTTCTCTGAGTAGGTGGTGTTAGGCCATACCAGAGTCTCTGGCAGAAGAAAGTGGCTTTCTTCTTTAGAGGCCTTCAGCTCTGAAACTCAGTCTGGAGGGCACTGGTATGGCCTGAGAGGTTGAGGCTAATGTTAAGGGGCATGTTCCTCGAGGAGGAGCTTCAGTCTAGCCTCTCTATCCTTGTTAGACCTGCCGTTAAACCCCCGGCAGACTTTGCACTTGGATGGGACATGAGATTTTCTGAGGGACCACAGACAGCTTCTAGGTCCTATCACTATAAGGAAAAGACTCTGGCAGGGCTGGAACCTTGGAGTCTTAAGCATAATCTGGGTAAGTGTCATAGACCACAAAGGCTGAAGGGGCAAGAATTTCAGAGTGCCCCTCCCCCCCAAGTTGTGCAACAACTAAGGGGAAAAAAACCAAAACTAATAGGCTAGGAAGCAGCTGTCAATGCAGTTGCTCCAGCTTGAGCTGCAGGCAGTTAAGAAGTGGAGTGGTGAGGGGTCTATATCTCCCTACGTCCTTTCATCTGGGAGCACAAGACCCTGCACTTCACAGGCACTCACCGTTATTTACAATCTCGGGTCAAGAGTGCAGGGTGCATACATGTCCTACAGCCGAGCCCCCATAAGGGCACATACTAAATAACTGGATCTCCAACTCCCATCCAAAGAGGGCAGCACCCTCCCCTCTACATTGGTAAAATGTCTTCCCCTTGGTTCAGTCGTGGAGAAATGGAGGTGGGTTAAAATCTGTCCTGACTGTCTGGACAGAGAGAAACTTGCTGTTTGTGGGCATGCGGTTAGTCCCCCCCTCCATGTATGGAAATGTCCCTATAGTGCCACTCACCAAGAACAAAATGCTACAGCATTTAAAAGCAAGACAGAGCATGCTGGCAAGGGGAAGCTGCTGTAGGTGCAAATAATGCACCAGGAGACTTAGGATTCCTCCTCTTCTCACTTCCCATACCTCCATTTCAAAGACAAAAGGTGAAGGGCTCTCAGCCTGCCAGGGTAGGGATGTCCCTGTATCAATGCCTACAAGACAGACCTTTTGATCATGTTTTTTCTTTATTTTTTAATAAAATGGTTTTTTTCCAAGTATTTATAACTGAAAAAATAATTCAATGGAAGGATCCATTCTCTCACCCCTTAACTCTTCACTCTTGTCCTTTTCCAGTTGAGTGTTCATGCTGGAGCCTATTGCCTCAGACTGTGCTGATCACCCCTTGCTGGTGCTGCATAGTGGAAGGGAGAGTGCATGCTACTCAAATACACATTACCAGCAAGTAGTGGTTACAGCAAAAAGCTTCAGGGTTACATTCAAGGTAGAGGCAGAACATCAGGCTTTTGTTTTTCCCTGTGAGACGCAACAGGGTCTCCCAGGAAAATCTCCAAGAGTACAGAGAAGTAGATGATCCTGCTTCTCAGCAAGGACCTAGGGCTTCTAACAGGCCACCTCCCCACCTGACCCTCCTCTGAGAAGCACCACCAGCAATGGGAACCCAGCTCTAGTATCATTTCAGTACCAGCTACCGCACCCTAGAAGCCTCACTTTACAGAGGGGCTTAGGCCTCTTCCTATGCAGCAATAGCCCTCTGTGGATTTTGCAGTCCCCTGGGGAGTGGGGGGGGAGTGACTTGGTTTACTCACCCTCTCCCCCACCCCACCCTGGGAACTGGTTTCATGCCATGTTCCTGCATTATCTCATTGCACTTTGATAATTTGTTTTCTGCTTGATATTAACTCTCATATTTAGGTTCTTATTTGTACCCCCCCAAAAAAACCAGCCCAGCCTCTGCTCCAGTGGGGCCAGGGATCACTGTGGTACATATAAAAGCAGCCTCCAAAGCCATACTGACAGCCTGGTTTTCACACAATACTGGAGCAGCTTAGGTCAGGCTGGAAGCCCCTCCAGCCCAGGTCCCAAGGATTATAGGAGATGGGTTTGTTCTGCCTCATACACAATTTCTTTTACCCCAGGAGCACTGAGTAAGTGATTCAGGTGGGTGCAGGTACATAGACACCTTGCTCAGACTCCAAAGGGTGAAGTGATATGTAGAGTTCTGGGCAGAACAGATGCAGCAGCCATGGTGGTGTGAGCCCCCTAGGCAAAAACTGATAATTTTGTATCAGAAACAGACAGCCCAGTTAGTGCATAGAGCTAGGGCTAGTCCAGGCCATAAGAGAGAAGCCCAGTTCCAGCCTCCGATTCAGCAGTCCATTCCTGCCCGGAGGGGGAGGAAGGGAACCACCAGGAAAGTTATACAGCTGCTCTATAGCTCAGGACACATGGCTTCTCCAGCACACCATTGGAGTAGGGAAGGAGAAGAATGCACAGCTTTGCACCATGGGAGATGGGCACAGCTTCACTAACTTGTGTGCACACCAGCTAAACACAGAATAGTAAAAAGAAGCAATCTCCTTTGAATGGCACGTGCAATAAGACTAGAACAGCTAAGCCATGGCCATCTCCTCCCCAAACCACACAGAATTAAAATACCAACTCTCCTCCCAGAACAAGCAGAAGGGGCTCCAGCAACGCAAGACATGCTCCCCCACGGTGATTCGGGTACACCATGCCCAGCTGCCACTTATGCCTTGACATAGAGTAGGAGGGTGGCTGCACCTCCTCCCCACTTTCCCTCCAAGAACAGCTAGAGAGGTCTATACACATACAGAGATTCTTCGTTAATGAATGGCAGGTACCAAGAGGCAAGAAAGCAGCATGAAACCCCCTCCTCCACCCTGAGGCATGTCTCTTCCCAGGTACCACAGGGACAGACTCCAGACTGGGTGATACACTGACATACTCAGCTACTGGGGGCAAAGGGAATTGCTTGCCCCACCCTGTGTCTGTCCTACCATCACACAAGTTGGGTGAGGGGAATTCACTTTTTCCTATTAAATTTTGTTTCAAAGCCAGTACCTCCAGCCCTGGTCCTCTGAAAGCAGCACCACCACCAGCCAGCTTCTCCATAAGAGTCCAGTTGGCCATGCTGCCTTCTGCCCACAGCCATACACAGCAGACCGTCCCCGCTCCCCACCGGATCAGCACCTGTCTAGGGCAGAAGAGGGGCGGCTCCAAACAGCATGGCTGGTTCACTTTTCACATGAGGTGGTGAATGACCATCACTGACCAGAGACAGACCAAGCTTAGAAGGGGACTAGGATGAGTAAGAAGTATAAAGGCTTTAAAGCAGCCCCTTCCAAACTCAGCCATAATTACCAAAGTCGCTTGGGGTTGAGAAGGCCATTTCTAGGTCACATAAACTAAGATAAAATCCCCACCCTGCTGCAGCATAGGGAGCTTACAGGGGTAGGTCAAAAAGGGGATGGGAGGGAGACTGGGTGTTAAATTTCTAGTAAGAAATTTTTTTTTTCCTTTTACTCCTCTGGGACTAGGGCGAACATGGCACGGCCCAGCAGAGACCGTCCTGCCATTGCATCTGCTTTAGAGATGCCTGAGAATAGCCTTCCACACCTCTCCCGCCTCCCGGAGGGGCCTGTGCCAGAGCCCTGCCCTGCAATGAACCATCTGCCACTGCTGCAGAGCAACATGAGCATGAGGCTTGCCCTCTCCCCTTCATTTCTGTGAAGTACTGCAGCAGCTGTTTTTCCAACCCTTCCCCTGGGCAGCAGGGCAGTCTCCCTGTCCCCGCAGGGGCTCATGGCATGGGTGAGCGGTGAAAAGCTGGTCAGCTGACGCCAGGAGACAAATCTCTCACCTGAAAATAGCGTCACCCTAAGTTGCTTGTCTCTAATAGCCCACAGCACAGAAGGCCACCTCACGCACGGAGGAGACATCAATAGCTGCCTCACCCCTGGCTCCAGCCACCCAACAGCTATTCTCCAGCACTCAGCCTCTTCTGGCCCTGGGCAGCCGTTAGGCCCAGACAGCCCAGCTGTGCCTAGTGAGCCACAGCTGTAGCAGGGCTTGAGCAGGCTGGTGCTAATGACCTGACAGCAGGGAGCTTGGGCTGCAGGCTGAGTAGGAACCCCAGGGGACAGAATGAGCAACGGGCCTGATGCAGCCTGTGCGCTGGGATTCTTGGCCCACCCCCAGCGCTGCGGGAGGCTGGGGCCCCAATAGAAAGAGCAGGCTTTTAGCACCATAATGCAGGTTGGCCCAGTCTCCTTTTGTGCAATATGAACCCAGCAGCAGGCTTAGCCTTTCCTATGCTGCAGCCATGACTGTTATATCTGCTGCAGAGGGCACACCTACCCCTCCTCCCACCCAACACCCCATCCAGGATCAGCAGCTTCCAAAAGCCACACACACAAAGCTGAAGCCCGACCCTCCAGCATCCTAGGCAGGTACCTGCTCTACTGCGAGTAACAGCACCTCAGAGCTGGGAAATGGAGGCCACATAGTCTCCTTCCACCTGTGTGGCAGGAAGTTCATGTGCCCCTTTGACTGGCTCTCAGCATAGCCTGAGTTTTGCACTGCAGTGCCCTGCACGCTCCTGTGGCAATAGTTACTCCACTTTGCTCATGGCCTTGGCCCAGAGCAAGATGGGAGGGCTGGGTTTCCAGTCATGATCCCCTTCTCCCTGTTCTGGTTTCTCATCCTGGCTTGTGTGAAGGGCTTAGTACAGGGCCCCTAACAAGCAACAACCTGATCTGCTTGAGAAAGGGTATTTCTTTGGGCACTTAGCATCTGTGGCTGTAGAACTCCCCAGAGTGAGGGGTGCGCTGCCTGGTCATTCCCCCATGTACCTCTCTCCCCTCCAGCCACATGGCAGATCCTAACCTAACCCGTCCCTTGTACTGCCGCTGGTAGAAGGTGGCTTATTGCTTGAGCGTCCCTTTGGCCTGAAGCCTCTCCTATAACTGAGACCAGCGTGACAGCTCTGGTCTGCAGGAGGAGCGGGGCCATGGCTAACTCAGTGCTCCCCCTTCCTTAAACAGCCGCTGGGAGGAATAGCTGAGCTGCTGCCTAACACGAGGAGTTCTGTCAGTGACCGTTCACCCTTCAGCCCTCCCAGAACAGCAGGAACCCCTTTGTTTCCCAATTGCTTTTAGGTTGGCCCCTGCCACTCCCCTCTCCTGGCTCCCAGATGAGCTGTTCCCAGTTGAGCCAAAGGAGCAGGGGAGGCCTCCCTACCCTGCAGTGGTGACATTTCAGCTTTAGAGCCGGGGTATAGGCAGGGAACCCGCCAGTTTCAAACGTCTGCAGCCCCTGTCCCCTGAAAGCTATGGTTACTGCTCTGGTCTGACCTGCTGATTGTAGCCCCAGTGAGCACAATGACCCACCAACAGCTGTGCCAGCCCTTGCCAATGGTACGAGTTTCACTACAGGAGGTCACGACTGGGGGAAGAGTTTACACGCAAGGGGCTCATTTTTGGTTGATTGGCCTCTTCCCGCCCCATGCCTGTGCCCTCCCACCCCATTCCCTTCAGTGTCCATTCAGAGAGCTACAAGCAAGAATCCCAGTGCAGCTGCAGATCATGTCCATCAAGGAAGTCTGTGGAGAAGAGGCTGGGGACTGCAGTGCTTAGGGGAGCAAGGCTCATGACAGGGCCCCCCGAAAGCTCCAGCCAGTCCATGCTGTCCAAGTTACCCTCAGCTAGGTCCAGGACTAGTCCCCCAGTAGGCTCATGGGCAAAGTGCAATTCTGAGGTGTCCATGGGGGAAGGCGGGTGGTCCAGAATGGCTGAGCTGCTCAGCATCTCACTATGGAGGTCATCGATCAGGGACAAGGGTTCAGGCCCATCATGGCCTGCTGGCAGAAGGGGGAGGCCAGTGCTGCTCTCCAGGAAGTCCTCCAGCCGGCCTGCTATGAC